ATCACAGTGCAGATTCATTACAATACGTTCATTCTTCTAAGACAGTGTTTATCAACCTTTTTTCAGTCAAGGCACCCTTTAAAATTACAGACAGTCCCGAGGCACCCTTTAAAATTATGGACAGTCCCGAGGCACCCTTTAAAATTCTGGACAGCCTTGAGGCACCCTTTAAAATTATGGACAGTCCCGAGGCACCCCATTCTAAAATATGAAAAACTATTCAGTTTTATATAACGCAGCAACATCCACACACATAGGACACCCAACATTGGAGGTGATTTATTCTTCCAAAGCAAATACACTTTTGCACACTGGTGCTGAGTGTTACTCTTCCCCCTCAGTTTTCTCCATCACTGAGCTAGTATGACCCCATTGCTGATGAAGAGGAGCAGGGGAGGGTCAAACAAGGATGCGGTGCAGGTAGCTGACATCCTCCTTATCAAATGATGATGTCATCACTTGTTAGGACTCAGGCGGCTCTAAGGTCATAATGGTGCACAATGAAAACCTGTGACTTTGTGTAACTAAAAGGCAGGCTTGTTCCACCCGCTGACTTGTATACAACTTTTGGGCAATTTTTTTAAATTTTGCCAAGGCACCCCTTAAGGAACCTCAAGGCACCCCAGGGTGCCTGGGCACACTGGTTGAGAAAGGCTGTTCTAAGAGATAGACACTGTGAAACTGAATGGTCTGGATGGATTATGTAGTTATACTGTACAAGGCTGTTATATGTATGAGATATGCACTGTCCACCATACGTTAAAAGCTTGGCACAGGATGAAGCATGAAGAAAGATTTGGTCATCCTTGCTAAGGCGAAATCTATTACAAACTGTACTGCAAATGAGTTGTATTGGATACTTTGATCTGTATTTCTATAGGTAGGTCCAAATCTTGTTTTACCATCTCATTTACTGTATTACAGAAAACCCCAGAAATAAGATGCAACCCACTTTCACTGTAATACAAAATAGAAAGGACAACTGCTACAACAATGGCATAAGAAAAGTAAGTGAACTCTCTAGATCTACAAACAGTATATTTAATAGAGCTCTGTATTCATTTATAAATCAATAAGTATTGATTTTAATTTGTGGAGTACTCTCCATAGACAAGCTCATTAAGAGGGCATAGTTCAAATAGTTGCACTGGAATGGTTATTAAACTTTTATGGTGGCTTTTATCCTGAAGTGTAGTTATCTTTATTTCCTTTTCATTTTTGAGTCTGAAATGGAGAACAATACAATCTGACTGTACAAGCTCATTTACAGTAGATTTACCAAAACAATGCAATACAAGGGCTAGACAAACAATCTGTTCAATGTGTATCAAATCAGGCCCTTGTAAAACATAGCTGATTGATAGATCTAAAGGAGATTGTATAGGCAGACTGAACAGTATGTGGTCAGCGAAAAGTGGAACTAAACCCATAGCTTTAACTAGTGGTGCACTGCAATGAAAATTCTGGACTGAAAACGTAAATCGAAACCGAAATGGACAGTTTTAAAAATATATATATTTTGTTATATATATATAAAATTGTATTATATTTGAATTTTTAATTAGAATCATGAATTTAAATGAATATGAATTTAAAAAAATACAATTCAGTAATGAAAACAAATCTTTATTGAAAGTAATACAAAAACATTGGACAGAAAATAAAATTCAATATATAAAATTAAAAAACTTAAATGGAGGTGTTTTTGCATTGAAGTCAATAGGGGACGTTTTTGCATTGAAGTCAATGGGATGAGATTTTGCACTGAAGTCAACAGGACGTGAGTTTGTGCTGAAGGCAACGGGACGCGATTTTGCATTTAAGTCAACGGGACACGATTTTGCACTGAAGTCAATGGGACGCGCTTTTGCACTGAAGTCAATGGGACGCGCTTTTGCACTGAAGTCAATGGGACGCGCTTTTGCACTGAAGTCAATGGGACGGGATTTTGCACTAAAGATAATGGGACGGGATTTTGCACTAAAGATAATGGGATAGAATCTTGCATTGAAGACAATGGAAAACAATTTTGCATTGAAGTCAGCTTTCTGTGGCCAATATATTGGTGCATCACTAGCTTTAACTGTCACAGTTGCTTGTACTTTTAACGGAACTGTTAAGCCATTAAATGGCTGGTGTCATAGCTGATCACATATGCAGCATTATAGCAAGTGCAGATCAAACAGAGGCTAAGATGGCAGCATCCTTTGCTGTAAAGGATAGGAGGGTTTAGTTCCACTTTAAGGCAGTAGTGCCCCAACTGTCTGCAATAAACAAGGTTCTTCCTTTTTTTCAAACTGGAACTCTGAGATGACAGTTGTAAGCTGATTTATTGCCATGAACATTTCATCTATGAGATGCAGGATCTGTTTATCTGTGTATGGACTTACGAAATACAAAGTTTTAGTTCAAACAAAACAGCAAACGTTTCAGTTGTCAGTCAGCATGTCTGGATTTCACCAACAACTGATCTTTTCACTTTGTATCACTAATCAACCTGAAACATGCTATATTTTACTAATCTCTCTCATCGGTCAGAAATAAATGGAAACCAATGGAAAGAAAAGCTTTACTTATAGTTGAAAGATAAAAGTCATGACACTGAAAGTTCAATGAGAAAATATATCTAATTGCAATCCCCAAAGCCTGTAAACCTAGTTTAAACCTGACACTACTACAGACAGCAACTTGCGGCTATCATCACAGGTGTTGATATGAATTCATATGTTCCCATGAAATGGAATATAACATTTAGACAAGTCATTTTTCAGTCGGCCTTATGGCAGGCTTTATTTTTTCTTTTTCTGTGTTGGAAAACGTCTGCATTAAATTAAAAAAAAAGTTATGACTGCAGAAATGTTGATGAAGCATTTATCAGCTACCAATGTATTGGCCGATTCATTTTTCTTGGCATAAAAGTTTGATATTGAGCTCTGGGCAAAACCTTTTTTCTTATCTTGGACAGATTTGGAACCTTAGTAGGCTTTCATTGTTGTATACATGGGTAAATTTCCCAACACTTCTTCCTTTCCTACTATTAATGGGAAACCCATCTAATGTAGGCATAAAGCCAAAAAAAAAAGGAAAAGTAAAATGGGAAAAGATAAGAGCCAATGTGGGCTTCTCCTTCGTATAATATGGCTTCTTGTCCTGGTGAACACTGTTTTTCTAGAACTGACCATGGATGGATCAAAATTCACCCAGTTCAGCAGTGACCAGCCGAATTTAGATCCATGTAAAGGTTTTCCTCTTAGATCTAATGGTCAACTACTGTCAAATGGGGAGGTTGGAAAACGTTTGTCGACCAGCGGCTGCAACCAATGAGCAGGGTATTCTGACAGCTGAGGAGTCCCACTGTCAGAATACAATGTCCCAGTGGGGAAGGGGATAATCTGTTAATTTTCTGTCATTCAGCTTGACGGCTGAAAAAAAAAAAAAAACCCAAAAAATCATCTACGGCCAGCATAATTTCTTCTGTTGTCCTCTTCAGGACAGCCAGCATCATTCAACCCACTTCCTGTGAGCCCAGGCTGAAAAGGACACACCAAAAATAAAACAAAAAGAGAGCACACCTGCATCATGTAATTTCCTCAGCTACACTTATATAATTGGGTCACTATCAAAAGGTGAATTGCCAGCATGGGTGTAACTTCAACGTTGCATCATGGCTTATGCATTACTGGTACCAAAAGAGCTTTGGTGGCACATCAGAGTGAATCATACAAAGGTACAATAAACGCAATCATCAATGGATATATTATATTTGAAGTGGGGCAACAACATGGACCAGCGCAGGGATTTCAAACAATAGCAGCTTGATAAAAAGGGTTGCCGTTGTGGTTCATTAAGATAAGGTCATCTATATTATGTCTTATAGCTTGGGTTGTGTGATGTATAGCTTTTGATAGTTGGACAAACCTGCCCAACCCTTTGATCAGAAAAAGTGAGAGTAAGAAGGAAGGTAGTCTTAAAAGCATGCTGATTAGGTGTTTGACCATAAACATCAGACCTACTGTAGGCATGCCTGTTGGTAATGGTGAGTGACCGCTGAGGTCAAAACTCCAGAAGAAAAAGAAGAGGGAAGGTCCTTTGGTGACTTATAGTGAAGAGGGAACCAAAGGACTTGTGAAAAGATACCAAGGGAGGTAAAAGTAAAAGAAGAAAGGTACGGAAGAGGGGATTCTCGTCATAGGTGAATCTGGATGCGGGTCAGTTTCAGGACAGACCAAGTGAGGAAATAGCAGGGATACTGGTTATAAATGGACTAGTCATGTTGTAAATCTAGAGACTAGTTGGTAGTCGAGCCAGGGCTGCCACATCGACAGAAATTGGCCATGTTTTTCTTTCAATACTGTTGTCAGCTTTTCATTAATAAAATGCCCTGCATTCTATATTTCACTTTCACAAAATGGAGTGTCGGGGATTTCCAGGCACATTCTATGGTTTGCTTGGTTGCCATAAAGAAGAACTCAATTAGCATCCTAGATTTGCATGGTATCTCTTGTAACAGTCTATGAAGAAGAACTTTGCTCGGGTTATTCCGCAAGTCAACATGTGTAACCGAATAGATCAAATTGTATACCCTAATCCATAACCATCGGGCAGGACCACCAAATATGAAACATTGTTCATGTGTTCGCACACCCTCTGAAGCAAAGGGAATTATATCGAGGAACATGGCATTTTTTTTTATGTGTCATAGACACCCTACCTATCTCTAGAGATGCATCATCACAGTCCCTGCACTTAGTTTAACCACTTGCCGACCGCGCATAGCCGAATGACGGCTGCACACCGCGGCCGGCTAGTTCTGGGTGGACGTCATATGACGTCCTCCCAGAACGCGCTCTCCTGCGCGCCCCAGGGGGCGCGCACCCGGCGATCTCCGTGATCGCTGTGTCCTACGGACACAGCTGATCACGAGATGTGGTGAAAGGCCGATCCCACCGGCCTTTTACCACGTGATCAGCGGTGTCCAATGACACGCTGATCACAGGAAAATGCAAGTGCCGGTTCTCGGCTGCACTTTCCTCACGCTGTCAGATCGTGAGGAAAGTACTGCCGAGAACCGGCAGTTGTCAGAGCGGGGATCGGCACCGATCATCAGGGCACTGATGATCAGTGCCCTGATGATCGGTGCCCAGCAGTGACCCCCGCAAGTTCCTCCCAGCAGTGCGCCCACTAGCCCCGCCCACCCATGCCCCCACCTGTGCCCAGCAGTGCACCCACCTGTGCCCCCACCTGTGCCACTCTGCAGTGCCACCTACCTGTGCCCAGAAGTGCCACCTACATGTGCCAGCAGTGCCACCCACCTGTGCCCACCCACCTGTGCCCACCAGTGCCCACCCACCTGTGCCCACCAGTGCCACCCACCTGTGCCCACCCACCAGTGGTGCCCACCAGTGCCGCCCACCAGTGCAGCCCAGCAGTGCTGCCAGTCAGTGCCCAGGGGTTGTGCCAGTCAGTGCCGCCAGTCAGTGCCCAGAAGTGATGCCAGTCAGTGCCGTCTATCAGTACCCATAATCAGTGTCACCTATCAGTGCCGCCTATCAGTGCCGCCTATCAGTGCTGCATATCAGTGCCGCCTATCCGTGACCCCTAATTAGTGCTGTCTATCAGTGCCGCCTATCCGTGCCACCTCATTAGTACTGCCTATCAGTGCCCTTTAGTGCTGCCTATCAGTGCCCATCAGTGCCGCCTATCAGTGCCCATCAGTGCCGCCTCATCAACGCAAATCAGTGAAGAAGAAAAAAATACCTGTTTGAAAAATTTTATAAAAGAAACAAATAAACTTTTTTTTTTTTTTTCAAATTTTTTGCACTTTTTTTAATTTATAGCGCAAAAAGTAAAGCGCCCAGTGGGCGATTAAATACCACCAAAAGAAAGCTCTATTTGTGAGAAAAAAATGATCAAAATTTCATATGGGTACAATGTTGCATGACGGCGCAATTGTCAATCAAAGTGCGGCAGCGCTGAAAGCTGAAAATTGGCCTGGTAAGGAAGGGGGTATAAGTGCCCGGTAGGCAAGGGGTTAAAGAGTATGTAAACCTAACATTTTATATTCCAGATATATGCCTGCTGTTTCATGTACTTACAGGGAAGGAAATAAGTATTTGATCTCCTGCTGATTTTGAATGTTTGCCAACTCACAAAGAAATGAGCATTCTAAAAATCGAATGGTAGGTGTATTGTAACAATTGTAAAAAGAATTGCATGACTAACAAATTATGCACTCATTTGCATGTTCATGAGGGAAATAAGTATTTGATCCCCTTTCACAAAACATGACTTAGTACTTGGTGGCAAATCCCTTGTTGGCAATCACAGAGGTCAGACGTTTCCTGGAGTTGGCCACCAGGTTTGCACACATCTCAGGAGGGATTTTGGCCCACTGCTCTTGGCAGATCCTCTCCAAGTCATTAAGGTTTGGTGGCTGACGTCTGGCAACTCAAACTTTCAGCTCCCTCATGCTGGAACACCCATCCACGACCCATTTTCAATGCCCTGGCTGAAGGAAGAAGGTTCTCACTCAAGATTTGACGGTACTTTGCCCCGTCCATCGCCCCTTTGATGCGGTGCAGTTGTCCTGTCCCCTTAGCAGAAAAACACCCCCAAGCAGAATGTTTCCACCACCATGTTTGACAGTTGGGATAGTGTTCTTGGGGTCATAGGTAGCATTACTCCTCCTCCAAACACAGCGAGTTGAGTTGATGCCAAAGAGCTCGATTTTGGTCTCATCTGACCACAACACTTTAAACCAGGCCTCCTCTGCATCATTCAGATGTTCAGTGGCAAACTTCAGACGAGCCTGGATATGTGCTTTCTTGAGCAGAGGGACCTTGCGGGCACTGCAGGATTTCAATCCTTGTCGACGTAGTGTGTTACCAATTGTTTTCTTGGTGACTGTGGTCCCAGCTGCCTGGAGATCATTGACAAGGTCCTCACGTGTAGTTCTGGGATGATTCCTCGCTGTTCTCATGATCATTGACACTCCATGAGGTGAGATCTTGCATGGTGCACCAGACCTAGGGAGACTGACAGTTTTGTGTTTCTTCCATTTGCAAATGATTGCAGTAACTGTTGTCACCTTCTCACCAAGCTGTTTGGCGATAGTTTGGTAGCCCAGTCCAGCCTTGTGTAGGTCTACAATCTTGTCCCTGACATCCTTGGACAGCTCTTTGGTCTTTGCCATGGTGGAGAGTTTGGAATCTGATTGTTTGATTGCTCCTGTGAATAGGTTTAAGAGACTGCTTCTAATCTCAGCTTGTTACCTGTATGAAAGAAACCTGGTATTCACAAATCCTGCTGAATGATGGGGGATCAAATACTTATTTCCCTCATGAACATGCAAATCAGTGCATAATTTGTTAGACATGCATTTCTTGTGAATATTTTGTTGCTATTCTGTCTCTCAGTGTTACAATACACCCACCATTCGATTTTTAGATTGATCATTTCTTTGTGAGTGTGGCAAAACATTCAAAATCAGCAGGGGATCAAATACTTATTTCCTTCACTGTATATGAAAAAGTATCTTGTTCTCTTTGTATTGCTTCCTTTGTGTGAAATCCCTGGTGATCCTGCCAGTCCCTCTGCTTCTTCCTGTTTTAAAAAAAATGACCACACTAAGCATGAGAGCAAAGCGTGGGCAGTTTTCTAGCTGTGCTGGGACTCTGTGTGCTCTTCAATAATCAGACTTCTGCTGACACGCCCCACTGTACAGTTATTCATTGGGAAGTTCAGTATGCTGCTGTTTCTCCTCCCCCAGCTCTATGTTCTTAGCTGCATAAGGAGCTTAGGGGGAATGTGATCACTTATAAAACACTCAAAAAAGGTATTTATAATATTTTTTATATCTATAAAAAAATGTTTTGCCTTTCATTTCTATTTTAAACTGAATAGGTTGTTTTACAAGGTAAAGGTTTACATAAACTTCAATGCTGCAATGAAGAGCCCTGCATGTCACGTGAACAGATCAAAGACCCCTGAAGAGAAGGTATATGTACAAAAAATGTCTTTATACTAGCTTCCTGTTATCACTTACACATCAGTGTTCTGGCTTAGTAAGATAGATGCAGTACTGTAAGCCAATTGCGCTTTAATGTATTCTATGGCACTATGACCCTAACAAAAAAAAACTGCTAAAATTGGAAGAGAGGGCGCACAAATTACATCATCAGCAGATTGTGTTACTTCACTATACAATCACAGTTTTGATGACACAGTATTGCTTTGACTACATAACGACAGAAGCAAAAAGTAAATGATCAGGGCCTGGCAATGGTATCTGGCAGGACAGAGGAGTAGGGATTAGAAAACTGGCTAACAAATTATTTGGCAGATAAGACAGTTCATCTATAGGCATTTCAACTGCATATTTAGCTTTTGCCTACAGTTATTCTTTAGTTGCTTTCTATATAGGTACATAAACCAGCCACAAAAGCTACATAGTGCATACCAACCCTTATCAGATGTGGGTAACTTTGTCCTTTGCAGTTCCCATCACAGCACTTCCAGGAGACTATAGTGGGATGCATAGTTTGAAAAGCACATGAATACACTTAAAGCCACTATATTTTTAGATGAGCAGAAACTGAACTCCAGAACTGTATATTTGCATAATCCAATTACCAACAACCACAGAGAATTGTGGAGAGGTCTTGTGCACAGATCAAATCCTGAGATGAAGGCTAGAGTGCTGTGTAAGTAGGCTGTGATCTTGTAAACCTAAAGCATAACTAAACAAAAAAACATAACATATATTACAATTTACCAGTCAGATGTGGTGGCTGCATTAGTATTATTTTTTCCTTTTATTTTTATCTGGTATCTCTGCAAATAACACACTTCAGGTCCCTTCATATCTACACTCTATTGGATCCATATAGGAAGCAATGGCTGTCACACAGGCTGAACTTCAAACACATCTGCCATTGTTAATCTCCATTACATAGTGGACTGATGGGACTAGTAGTCTGCACAATAAAGGTCAAATTTTTTGTGCTTTTTAAATTTATGGCAAGGACACTGTATTTTAAGCAGGAACACCACCACCAATCTTCTGTACATGCTGAAAATGTCTGAAAAGTGAAACCAAATACAGCCATCACATCTAAAACCCGATAAACTGCAATATGTACAATATTTGTTCTTGGGTTTAGACATGCTCAAAAATGTTACATTTGTATTTTAAATACTACAACTGCACACAACAAAATTTATAAACACATAGTATAACAAATCATAAGAACTACATTACAGTCTCAAGGCCATACCAGTATTCAGGATTCATGTACACAGATATTATTAGCCAAACAATATAAAGACAGAGGGCTGTGAGGCAAGATTTATAGCCTGTGCTTAACTGCTCTCATACCCACTTACTAGCAGCTTAATCAACTTCATATTTCCGTTGCAAAGAAAGACGTTTTTAAGTATTATAGCCATCGACACAGGAACATGACGAGACACAAGGGGTCAGGACTCACTATTCAGAGGTCCTAATTCCAGGGTCCTGACCTTCAACAAAGCTCTTTTCAGACTGTGCATAGGACATTTTTCCTACAGAAACAAAGTATACTCATAAAAACAGCAGGGACTTTTCTTTTCACATTAGATAGCCTTCTTTCAATCACAGTTATTTTGGAGGTGTGGCTGAAGGAAAATCTGAAAATTGAGGAGAACCGGCACCCTTATTTTTTTTTTTACTACTATTAAGGGGTAGAAGATCGGATTGGATAGACATATATAGAAGCAGAGCAGAAAAAGTGTTCTTGTAGATAGATATACACTTACAAACACAATTTAGCTTATTCATTAAGGCAGCAATGACAATAAAAAGTGCTATAATCCATGTCAACCAATGAGAAATCACCTTTCACTGATCTAATTACAATAAATGTAATAACGCTCTATAGAGACATAATAGTTATATCCAGATACATCACCTGTATCAGATGTAAAATTGCTGTAGTTTAAGTCTGCATTTTATCCGGGCTATTGCAAAGAAGGAGGATGGACATCAAGATAAAAATTGTGACAGGGGAAGGACCTCCAGCTGATTGACAGCCTTAGAAACTGTTCCTGTGAGCTGTGTGGAGGTGGGGGGTCTCTTCCTTCCAATCAGCAATTAAAACGGTCCTCAATGAGTTCTGCAGAGTATAACTTCAGCCTTCAGCTCTCCGCCCCCCCTTTATTTTGACAGCCCTACAATCTTTATAAATTCAACACTTTCAACAAATGTAGAAAAGAGAATATTGCAGATAAACAGGAACAACTTATGTAGGAGGATTTGTTTCATCCCTCTGCATCGCCTGAGGCCAGTCAATTCACTAGGTATATGTAAGGGTTTACAAGCACTTTAACACTCGTAAGCCAAAGT